TCCAGAAACAACATCACTCTTTACTTCTTCAATAAACACTTCCATGGTAGGTTTTTGTTGAAATGACCACGAAGGTAAGTTGATGATCCAAAGCACTAGCCTTTTTATAACATCTAATTTCCAGACCTGGGGTCTGTGATAGACTTACGTCCACGTGGTGCACCCTGGGCAACGTACACTCATACGGCAAAAAAGTCTATTACCTGGCAGTTGACTTCAAACTACCATGACCCCACTGTATGTCATATTCGACTACTTTCACAGTACTCATCCCACCTTTTTTCCACCTTATCTACCTTCGTCTTTGATACACTCTTCTGTCCCCCCCCCCCTCTTGAATTTTTTACACTTTGATGTTCCTTCCCCTCTGTGAAGACTGAAGTCAACTAAAGGGCTAATGATAACAATCAAAACGCCTGCCATTTGATATAATAATAATAATAATAATTTCCAGACCTAAAGCAAATAAGTCATATTCACCGAGTCATTTTTTGATAGATACACACAGCCGTTAAGAGTTCTCTCAAGCTTTTTAACACTAAAAAAGGGAAGGCTTTCTTGAAAGTAATGGTTTCCAAGCAGTAACTATGCGAAAATGAAATTTAAGGATGAGGTTAGGGTGCTTACAGTTTAATGGACCTTGAAGTGACAACCTTTTAAATGCAAATCTACTCTCATATAGACCAACTTTCAGAGTAAACTTCCTCATCTTTTGGCCCAAAATAAAGTTCAAAACAATAAAAAGCAAAATTGAATTGGAAATGTTGTAAAAATGGAGAGATAGAAGCAACTTTCACTTTAGACTTCGTTTCATCCTTATTTTCATTAATTTTAAATAAACATTTAATTATATTTAAGGGTTTTGTAAAGACCTCCCTAGTGAATATATATTTTCTACAAAGAAATGCAAATTATCTGCTTCGATTAAATGAGTTCACTAAGACCTCAAAGTGGAATATTGTTCTGATTGATTAATTTAAACAAAATTTGGTTAAGATGAGAGGCGTTAAGTTGGGAAGGTGATTGAATTGCCATTTTCACCAAAAGTTTTATTAGAATTGAGCAACACTCACGAAAAGCCGCAAAAGGCATTCCAACTGCTCCGTGCATAAAAGACACTGCAGCGATTCGGTAAAATTATATTACAAAGCAATAGCAGTTTTTAATTAAGAACATCAAGAGACAAAGTTTACTATCCAACAGAAAATGCCAAAATAGCACTCACTTTCAGCAGGATGTTGGTTGAGATGAATAAAGAAGGCATTCTCTGGCCCTAAATCAGAATAAAGTTCATTGAATATAACCCTCTTGAGTTATTAGCGTCTTCATTATATTATATCACCAGATAAGGGATGTGCGATAGAATTACCTCCACGTGGTGCACCCTGGACAACGTATACTCATACGACAAAAAAGTCAGTTAACCGGTAGTTGACTTCTCACTTCAAACTACCATCACCCCCACTGTATGTCATATTCCACCACTTCAACAGTACTCACCTTACCTTTTTTTACCTTTGTGTCTGTCTCTTTTATAGTTTTGAAATACACTTCTGTCCCCCCCCCTCTCTCGATTTGTTTCACTTTAATGTGTCTTCCTCTCTGAGAAGCCTGAAGTCAGAACGCCTGCCATTTGAAATAAATAAATAAATAAAATTTCACTAGATAATTTACCAATGTGGAGAATGTATTCGAATGATATGATAGTTATAGGAAGTTATTTTTATTGTTTAAGGATCATGATTTTACTCAAGGTGGGAGTCTCTTCATCAATAGTAGAGGGAATAAGTTTCATATTCGACTACGCCACCTCGATTTCTCTCTATCCTACTAAGGCAGAATTTTAGAGGCTACTTTATAAATTAGTTAACCAAGAAATCAAGGAGGTAACTTTCGAGGATTGCATCAATACCAACGGAACGTGATAGAATCAAATTTACGAATTATCACGATGACTTGACTGCATTTTAAGAATTGGTATAATCAAGTACTTAAGCATGTCAATAAAATCCAAATCTGATAGAAAGTCTTATTTCGGAGTCTTTAACTGGCTTTCTTGCTAATTCTAAACCAATGTCCATATCTTCATGAATAAAACGGGTTAATATCGTTATTATAACATATTCCCAAATAAGGAATTGTTACACACTTGAAATATATGCATCAACTGACCTTCAGCAAATGTGGCCATATTAGGATTGGAACCAGATGTTGAAGTCGCGCTTCTCTAAAATGATACGCAAAAATTATTTGCGATTTAGGCTGTTCTATGGCGGAACAATATCGATACAAGATGATTCAATGGAAATGAAAATAGATGTGTACTGATTATCTGTGAGTAGAAGTTGTATTTTCAATTATCTTACACTCTCCTCGCTTTGTTCAGCGGCAAGTTTAGCCGCCTCTTTAAGAACAGAACTTTGTGGTACAGTAATAGAACGTGTTGATACTATTCGGGATTGATTTTTGTTTTGTCCACTGCTCACTGGTCGTGAAACGATTAATCGGATCGGTTGAAGGGATGATTCAGGTGGTTGCGTTTGGCCACTCTCAGTATTTGCTAATACCTGACAATAGACTCCAAGAACTTCCTCAAAAGACTTGTCCATAACAGGAGTCTCATTGATGTACAGAATGTTGTCATCCACTTTCAATCGTCCATCCTTCAATTGATTAAAATTAAACTTTATTAAAAAAGTTAAAAAGGAAGTAAATAAAACTCATTCAAGATGTTTAGGATAAACGTTATAAAGTAATATTTAACACCCTTATCCAGACGTGTTGAAGGCGTTCACTCACACTAGGCTTCCTCAGCAATGACAATGGGAATGGATGATGATTGGAACTCGTCTTGATCTTGAATCAGATAGCTGATCAATGCTATTTTTAGATTCTTAACAAGATTAGTGCTAAAACCTTCTTAAAAAGGATTGAACCTAAATGAATTCTCTAAAAAAACACTTAATTTTGCAAAGGCGTTTTAAGGTGCTTGACATCAAAAGTTTGACATCGTTCTAAAAACACTATTTAAAGTGACACAATTCAGCCTGCCTATTCTCGTCGGCTAATTTAGCACATTAGTCAATTAATAAGAAGATTATTATGCCCGGTTCAAATATAGCAATTTGAGAAAGGCTCTCAAAAACGCCGTCCCATTAGTAAACACCATCTTCTCGTCTTGTCTTATAAGTAGATCAGGACGTATGCTTTGGTTTAAGCATTTCCATGCCCCAATTTCTTGCAATAGACTTACCTCCATGTGGTGCACCCTGGACAACGTATA